TTGATTTCGAACAGGGGAAAGGGATTGGATAGAATGTATGTGACATGTATAAGCCTCTGGATAGTACTTTCTTTAGGAAATTATATTGAGCATGAAATTCTTTGTAGCTCTAAGATAATTGTATGAATATATATTTCCAGTATGGAGTTTGTGTGCAATTGGAGTTCTCTGACAAACTAGCCATAATAATTTGCAGGTTTTCTGGTGGTTAAACAAATAGGATTGTCCTTGCTTGCTATTTCTTTTATCACCTACTGACCTCTATTTCTGTTTACTGTCTAATGCTGTCAGATTGAGATAACGAAGTTAGATGAATTCGCTCAGGCTGCTTTTCGTGGATATAAGTCTCTGAACCGTATTCAGAGCTGCATATTTCATACTGTTTATTGCACTAATGAAAATATACTAGTAAGTTATTGATTCTGTTGATTATGTGAATACCAAACCATTGCAGTGAAAGTGCTGATATGATATCTGCTTGAATGTGATTTTCATTTACTTGCAGGTTTGTGCTCCAATAGGAGCTGGCAAAACAAACATAGCTATGATTTCTATTCTACATGAGGTATGCAAATGATTGGCTATTCTTGGGTCTTTATCATTTTTGGTAATCATACATTTTCTCTTACTACTTTGGCTTGATGTCAAATTCACACATTTGTTTTTGTATTGTGTAAGAGTTAATCTGGGTTAATTGCATAGTTAAAATGGCTTGGGAATGGCTGTAATGTCACATGAGTTGGTATTGTATATATTTTTCTGGGAGGGTTAGTGTGTTAAAGATATCAGCTTGCAAAATAAAGCAAGGAAACTAAGTTTTTGGCTGCCTTAGTTATTCGAGTCCTTTTATGTCATGGTGATGTACTCATAGTACTTTTCATGTTGAATTCAACCTATTTAGTTTTTGAAAATATTCAGTATGCTAGTATATCATCCATTATGAGATTTAGATAGTGAGTCGGCATTTTCTGTGGCAGATTGGACAGCACTTCAAAGACGGTTACTTGCATATATAAAGATGAATTTTAGATACTTTATGTTGCGCAAATGAAGGTACCCACCCTATATAACTCTTTTCCTTTTTTTATTTTCTGAGTTGGACGGGGGGAGAAGTAGGCATTGAAAATAGTGGCTTGTTACTTATTATCATGTATTTTTCAGGCATTAGCTGCAGAAGTTACATAAACTTTTAGCCATCGCGTATCTCCATTGAATATGACTGTGAGAGAACTTATGCAACTTTCTAAGAACGAACTTGAAGAAACTCAGGTCACTTTTATCAAATTATGCGTGCTCCGTGTGCTTTTAATTGTTACCCAAAAGAGGAAAATGAAAACCTTAACGGCTTCACTTTCTTCTTATTCAGATGATAGTCACTGATTGATTATTTTTTCATAGAAAATGATTAAATGCTTTTAGATTTTGACATCATGGGTCCACTGTGTTTCCTATTACGGTTATAGAATTCTGTGGTTTCTGTTTTTTCAGTTGTTTTTGTTTGTTTTTTTTAATCTCATTTGAAGTCTCTAGAACTCAGAATGCTATTCATATATATGGGTTACTTGTAATTTCTGAGATCCTGCTTATGTTGAATTGTTCATTTGATGCTTCTCTGCAAATTTTTTCCTGTATTGGTCCAAAAAAGAAGTCTTAATATGTTAATCAACTTCTATATTCTGGTTAAAAAGAATTTTTGAATATGTAGTCTTTTGCACATCAGGTTGCCATTAGTATGAGCTCTGCAGTCAAAATTAACTCATTTTATTGTGACTGATCTTTTCACTTAACTTGACAAGTTTTGATAAGAGCTTGTTCAGTATGTGACAGTAAATATCATGTATTTTGTACACAAGGTTTTTCTTAAACCTTTGTTCAGACTAGTAGGAATTGTTACAGAAGAATTTGTCTGCTCAAGTTTTCATTTTGATCAATTTCATAGACACATTACAGAGGTATCAAATGTCAATGTTTAGCCGTAGGGTTCCATTTGGTTGTGGTTTTTGTGAGTTTTGTTTGGACTGGTTGAGCATTACAGAGGTATCTCTCTCTTCATCGACATCTCTCTCTCTCTCTAAGTTATATATAGCCAGTTTTATCGTTTCTTCATATTTGTATGGCCATAGTTTGGATTTTCCTGGTATTGTCAAGCATATGGCTAGTGAACCATATTGAAGGTTATTGTAAGTTGTTCTACTGTTATGAAAAATCAAGCTTTGAATAGAGTTGTCATGAGCGTGCCTAAATTGGGTACTATGTAGATTATGTTCTGTGAAGACTTGTTAGATTTGAGAGAGTATAAGAAGGAAACATGACAGTGCATACCTTACAGCCCGTATTGAATTGCAGAATGAGATATGCTACAAGAAGGTTTCTTTTTCCTTGGGCTATCCTTTTTGTAATGTATGCATTAGAATGATTATTTAACTGATTGATACTTTTTTCTGCCAGGTTTTTGAATCATTCAGGCAATGGTTTTTGAAGGGACACAACAAAAACAGCTCAGAAATTGGTATATACCTTTATATTCCATCTGACTTCAAACAAAAAATTGGGAAAATCGAGTATCGCCGCACGGCTATACTATTTCTTTTTAAAAAATTTAAAACCCGAGTATAGCCGATACTATTTATGAAATAAAATAAAGTAAAAAAGCCAAGTACAGCCGCGCGGCTGTACTATTTCTTTTTAAAACTAAGGAACAATGAGTATCGCCGCACGGCTGTACTATTTATAAAATAAAATAGCCGAGTAAAGCCGCGGAAAATTAAAAAAACCTAGTATAGCCTATCTCTTTTACTCTCCTGAACTTC